GCAGCGGCCAGCGTCGCAGGGCTGCGACCCCCGCCGCAGGGTCCCTCCTGCAGCTGAAGCCGGTGCCGCGCAGTTCATCTGAGAAAAGCAAGGCAAAAGAGAAATTTCAGATCAGGTAAAGGTTTTCACAGTTAACTAAAGATGAAGAGGTATTAAAATATTTTTCATTTTACTAGTTTCGGTTTGAACTTAATTTGCATCATTAACTTGCATTACTGTAGTGCACTATAACATGCGATTCTTTAGTAAAGATTATGTGTAATCTTGTAAAAACACTGCGTAGTTACTTATTTTGCAGATGACGGAATACTATACTAGAGATGTGTCAGTACTTTCAGCTGAATACATTTTTCCCATCTTTTTAGGCACTAAATAGCATTGTACCTTTTCTTTTTTAATATTGTGAATTCATGAAATAAACAGCAGCAGAGTATCTGAACAGTTGAGTTGTTCAGCTGCCTACAGAAAACCTCTCTTTTCAGCGCTTACCCTTTAAGAAATGTTGTATGCTAGATGTAAACATAGATTTGATTTTACCTTGGGGACTAACATAGATATTTTAATAAGTGAACTAACAGTAAAGAATAAGGTCATAATTTAAGGATAAAAGTGAAAAAGTATCTAACTAGCAGCTAGTGTTCCAGATAAGTAACACCTGATGGTTACAGACTTGTTCAGCCAAGCAGATTGCTGACAAGTGGAGGACATTAAACCATCTATAATCAGAAAAACAAACACTTGGTAGCTTGAACCGAGGACAAGCAACTGGACCTTGAGAAGGACAGTTAATTAGGATGTTCTATGTATGCTGCAAACTTGGCAGCAGTGCTGAGAATTCATGTATCCTTAGTTGAAGTACCCTTATTATAACACTAAAAATCATCCCCCCGAGCTGGAGACCCTGGCCCAGGCAAAGATCCTCAGCCAGTGAGCATGCCTAGTGAATTTTGGGAGTACTGTATCTTTAAACCGAGGTGGGAGGGAACTAACCAATTGTAGTTAGGAGGGTACGGCTAACAGGTAACACACGTTACTAACAATTTTTAAATGTTTTTTGTTGTATAAATAATGTGATTGATTGGTGGAAATCCTCCACCTCACACCCTGTGCAGAATAAACAATGTCTCCTCTCTAAACATACTTTGTGTGTTTCAGGAGTTGCTTCTGATTTCAGGAGACACAGAGATAACTTTCTTGCAAGCCACAGAGTGAAGCTCTTTTGCTAGCTTAATTTTTGCGAAAATTTTAGAAATGCTGTAAAATGAAAAAAGAGAATGTGTATGACATTTGCAAAATGGTTATTTCTCTTCAGGACAACCTGTAAACCCACCACCAAAAACCCCGGCATTGGTCAGAAGCCCCCTGATATTTCTTTCAGTGTCGTACTCGGATGGCTGAGCTTTGGTGTCTTCATCATCTTGCAAGGGACACACCCTTCCCAAGCCTCAGGTGTCGAGACGCGTCTTTACCTGTCTCAGGGCTTTTACAAAGACTGAGATAGTCTTGCTCGTAAAGGGATCCTGCCATCCTCCTACTTCTACTTTGCATTAGTATTAATACACTATATGCTCGCAAGAACACAGCTGAGGCTTAACTGCTTTTCTCTGTATTACTCATGGGATTTAGAACATCACCACCTTCACTAGCATTCTAGAAAGCAATACAGGAATGACAGTAAAAAGGAAAGCTTGAAACTTGACTGCGATCAGGAACAACATGTTTGTTGGTTTTTGTTTTAAAATTATTGTCCATGTAGTAAAAACTACTGCTTAAATACACTGTAGAGTCATTGTGAAACTCCAAGGGTTTTTTTAACTTCTGGTTTCACTGAATTCTTTGCCTTTCTTTGCAGGCATCGGTTTTGTCTTCTTCCTTTCCAGGTATCTTCAGTCATTCTCAAGATGCCTGAAGCTGACTTTTATGCTTTGGAAGAAAAGGTGTTTTCTACTAAGCAGAGCCCAAACTATTGCAGGAAAACATTTTGAATCAAAGGTAGAAGACTTCTGCAGTACCAGGATGGATCTTGTGAAATATTCCCTTTTAAGCTGAGTTGATCAAAACCAGCCCCCGATCTCTTCTCTTCAAGACCCATCCCTCAGAAACTTGCTTTCTTCTAGCTGCTCATACTTGATGCATCAAAATGTAAAGTTGCTACTTTATCAGAGTTCAAATAAATAATCACAAGTAGATTATCTTTCATTCAAACTAGCTTGTGTGCAATTACCTCATAAAACCGACTAAAGTGTCTTATCAAGAAGTGAACTACTTGAATTCCACCTTACTGTTTGGACTCCTTTTGGACACCATAGTCTGGAGATTCTGTAACAAAAATTCTTAAGGCAATTATTAGAAGCAGAGAGTTGACTTCAAAAGGAGGTACGTTGTCTCCCATTGCTTTCTACCTTATGTCTTTTAAATTACTCATGAACTTCCTAAGATAATACTTTATAGGGTCTGTTTCCAATTTATGTAGGTCCCCACTGTAATCTAGTTAGATTGAGACTGCCTTTATAATGCAGTGAACAGATACACTTCTATGTTGTTGTTTAATTTTTTTAAAAAAAGTTTTATTTATTTTTACAAAAATGTACAGGAGTTCCTTAGACCATTGACACAGCAATACAACCCATGAAATTTTGAACAGCCACCACTTCATTCTTATTTGATAATTCTGGACTACTGAGTAAGCTATAAAGATTATTATCTACAATGTGGAAGCTTAAAATAATTTACAGTTTTCATAAATATTTCTCATTCCTGAACATCTTTAAGACATGAAAAATACAAGATGAAAACAGAATGTACTAGAAAATGCCCTTCCTTATTATTACAGAAACATTGAGGTAAGTGGAGTACCACTGCATGACACCAATCTGAATCAGTTTGAGGAAGAGAAACAGTCCAACTGCAACTTAAAGGCAGACAAGTACATAGTTGAAATATTTCCAGTTTAAAAACCCTTAAACGTCATCTTTGTGGACTGAAAACATTGAGTTTTAGGAGTTTACATAGAACAGAAATATTCAGTATTGTAGCAAAGTGTCACAAATTTATTGTCGTATAAAAACAGATTAAATCACAAATAAGCAGGCTGAAGTCTTGTCAAATACAAAATGAAGTATAAAAATATAACACAATATACAAGACTAGAAGTAGTTAAATATTACTGAAGCCAAAGTAACACTGGAGTAATTGTGACTTACAAAATCTTGCCTAATCTCTGAGTCCATCTCAAGCTACAGCAATAATTTCTCTACCTTTTCAGGAGATTAACATGCAGATCTGACAGCTGTAAATAATAAAATTAAACCAAATGTATACAAATATATGTACATTGAGGCACAGTGCTTTGTAAAGACTTTGTTACCCAGTCATTATGGCTAAGAGTTGGTTTTAGTCATTTACATTTTAGACGTGTCGCATTGTCTCCATGCCCCCTCATAGCCTGGGTCACTGAACACTTAACTGCAAATTTAGAAAGAAACAAGCTTAATTTA